TTTTTTTTTTTTAAATTTAAGGCTAATCAATTGTTTTAGTGCTTGAAATGGACAAACAAGCAAAAAAATCAAAGCCACCAACTTATGAAGAATCACAATCTGTTTATACCATATTAAACTTGGAAAGTTTATCACAGACTGTAGCACAACAGAATGCTGATCGCGAACTTTCAGCAAGCGTCGTTTGATTCCTTCATTTTCCTTGTAATTTTTTTTGCTCATTTTTTTTTAATGGTTTTTTTATTCAGAGTAATTAAACTTGACTTTTTGTTTATTTATTTATTTTTTTGTTATTTTGTTAGGGTTAATCATTTAAGAACTTTTATTACAGACAGGTTGCTGTCAGCTGCAAAAGAAAACAGCTTTTAATGATAATATCTTACAATAGGGTTTACCGAGATAAACTAAAGTTCTGTAAATGACATAATATAAGAGCAAAATACAGGGTAGATATTTGGTTAAAATTAAAAAAGCTTTTGCCAGATTATCTTACTTCTCAGCTAAGCAAGACTACTGATAACTAATAGGGCATTATACAAGATTTGTTTTTTTCAGCTGTAATAAGAAAAATGAGACAAAAAAAAGTTGTAACATTTGCAAATGCTATAGCTTAGTTGTTCAAGTAAATTTTTGAACTTTATGACTTACTGTTTGTTGAAATGACTGGTATGGTATATCATTGATACTACTGACAGGTTAATCAAAGATTAAATAACAGCAATTTTGAACAGTTAGCCAGGTCTTTTTCAGAACACAGTTTAGCAGTGAAAATTTTAGCAGTATAAAATAAGCACAGTTGGAATAAAAAATATTCAAAGTTTGAAACTTTTGAAAAAAAGCTAGACGGTAGATTTTTTTTTTCAATATAGTAGTGTAATCTTTGGCTGTTTTTAGGATTTTGTTAAGTCATCAGTTGTATCGTAAATGCTGTCGACACAATATTGCAGTTTATAACTGTTGATAATGTTGTGGATCGTCAACATATCCTTCGAAAAGCACAAAAATCGGGT